GAGGGTGGAAGCCAGATCATTCAAGCCATAGAGTAGCCTGTTTGCTCTTGGTAACCTGACCTACGTTAGTAGGAGCCAGACAGGTCTCCTCTCACCAAATGTAGGTCAAGGTGTGGGAGACACTCCCTTGGGATGAAACAGGATCGACGGAACATTAAGGTTCAGCAGTTGAATAATTTACATCCATCCCACTTACAACACAGTTAGTGGGCTCCGTGTGACAGGAGGGTGATGAGAGAGGGGGCCTTCTAGAACTTAGCACAGAGCAGAGAGACATCTACAATTAGACTCTCGACTTGAGCAAGGTTTTCCAAAAGGAGTACATGCAGGGCGCCTGGCTGGCTCAGCGGATTGAGGGTCCGACTCTTGATTTCAGCTAGGTCATGATCTCGATATTGTGAGATGGAGCCCCGCTTTGGGCTCTGTGCTGGGCATGGAACCTGCTGATCTCTCTCTCCCTCTGCCTCTGCCCGCCCCCCCCAAATAAAAACAAAACTTAAAAAAAGGAATGCATGTGACAATCACACCTGTAGCTTTTAGACCCATGGTCTGTCCCTTATGCTGGACAGGACTGTCACCTACAAAAGTACTTTGCACCTAGCAAAATGTATAGCATGTACTCAATACTCAATACTCCTAGCTGAATGGACACAGGAGTAAGCAGTAATAAAATGTTTGCTGAGGATCTGGTACTATGTGGTTAGCTATATCCTTAATTTGAATGGAAAATTATGTCATGAACATCTCTTGGATGCACTATGCCATCCCTTCAGCACAACAAAAATTGACATACTCTAATCAGAACTCATTACCTTCCTGCCAAAAAAAAACCTGTTCTCGCTTCCACGTACAAGTTATCTTCAAAGAAGGCAAGCATTTACCTTTCTTCTGTCTCAACACCATTTACTGAATAATCAAGAAGGGCTTTCCCCACTGGATCTATAATCCCACCGTTTCTATTCTGTACCTTTATTTCTCAGATCCCATGAGTATGTTTCTCTCCCCTGGCTTCATGGCTTTGTCTATTCCTGTGTCAGTTTTGTAACATTTAAGCGCCTGCTACTTGACAAACAGTAGTGTGTTTTATACTGAAATTGCTATTCTCGAGCACTTACACTTCTAGAGAAATTTTTCACTTCATCTCATTTCCCTCAAAACCCTACCTTGAGCAGCATGACACCTACAGATTAACTTGAGAGGAATTACCATCTTTATAATACTGAATTTTACCATCTAAATAACAAGATGTTTCTCCAGTTAGTGTTCTTTTATAACCTACAGTAAAGTTTTATAGTTTTCTACACAGAGGTCCTGTGCGTTTCTTTTTACATGTATTCCTAGACATATCATAGTTTTTAACTGCTTGTGAAACTAGGATCCTTTCTCTATATTTGCTAACTGGTTATTGCTAATATAAAGGGAAGCTACTTAATTATTTTACACTTCTTCTGTATCTATTTTCTGAGGCTAGCATGAAAGTCGAGACTTCAGTAGCTTTTCAACCTTTCTGCGAAAAGAAACTTCTATTAAGCACTGAGTCCCTTAGCGGCGCCTGGGTGGCTCAGTGGGTGAACCGTCTGCCTTCCGCTCAGGTCCTGATCTCAGGGTCCTGGGATCTAGCCCTGCATCAGGCTCCCGGCTCAGCAGGGAGTCTGCTTCTCCCTCTGCCCCACCTCCCACCCCGCCCCCGCTTGTGCGTTCTCTCAAATAAATTTGTAAAAAAAAAAAAAAAGTGAGTCCCTTTTATCTGATCAACATTTTAAACATATCTTGAACTCATGCCTAACTACACACACACACACACACACGCACATGCACACACAGTCATACACACACACAATTATCAGTTTCCCGTGCCTCATGCAAGTAAGATTGCCCCGTACAAAAGAGCTCCCATGTGATTCCTCAGCAAGAGCCCAGCTTCACTTCCTGTGCTGCCAAATTCAGGGCAGCATGAGCTCTTAGGACAAAGGATGGTTCACTGTATTCAACTCTACCTTCTGCAGACATCCAGCATTTTGGATATTTACCCTCATTAGGATCAAGTTATGATCTTTTCTGCTCACGTGTTAAACACACTCAAGACTTCTAAATGCCTAAATATTTCATTAGGGAAAGAGTCTGCCTCTAGATGGCTTCTTTTCTGTCCTGTGTCCAGTTAAGAAAAAAAAGAGTCCTTCAACTTCTACCAGATGGCCTCCTTCAGCTAATTTGTCTCTGCCTAATCTTTATCAGTTTACTGCTGATGGTCAAATGTTTCCTCCTAAGGGATAAACATTACACATTACACTGGGAGTTTTTTATCAGGTTGTCCATCTTTAACATGCTATGTTGTTTTTCTTCCACATACTTAAACATTTTAAATTATATTTAAATATTGAAATGAAATTTTAAATTTCAGCAGCAAAATACTTAAAACCATGTCATATAAAGCTATTTTTAAACATGCGTCTTGCTCTTCCTGCAAACTGCCCTCTAATTTGTGGGCCACGTAAATACTCTTTTCCAATAGGATGTGAGCAGCAGTGGTGAGGAGGCATGCCCTCCCTTTGCTCATCAACATAATCACGAGGATTCCAGAGATGCTGGAGGAGGTGAAGCCCTGAGAAAGAAGCTTCCCTAAATGCGTGTGTGAAGCAAAGGGTCCCTCCTTAGAGGACTGCCACGTGACTGAGAAATAAACATGTGTTATGCTGAGCCACTGAAACTGTGTTGTTTCACAACAGCAGTTGGCCTATCCCCAGCTAGAGAATAGTAGTAAACAAGAGTTTAGAATGTCAGGTAAGAGAAATAAGAAAGGTAACAACTGAGATCAAACCAAAGGCGGGTGGTGAGGGCCCAGCAAACAGTGCGTCATGCAAATCCAGACTCACGCCGACCGCAACCGTGACTTCAATTTAGCGACATTGGATTACTTTTTAAATCTGGCAGTTTAAAAATATAAGCAGCACGATATTTTTTAAATGAAGTAGTATGTGGAATCCCAAATATAAGCTAGAGACACAGAGCAGTTGTGGCTGAAGTAAGACTGGAGGGCAGAGCCTTGCCTGCTTAGCGCCCCCGGTAAGTGGCTACAGTATCTGAGCACTCAAGAAGGCAATTTGAAAATTCATGACTTTACAGTATTAACTTCCAGATGCTCATGTTAACATTTCTGTTATCAATGTGCATAAACTGAATTTGTCAAGAGTATTCTTTTTGTTTCTGTTTCATACCAAATGCTTAATTCATTTCTAAATTCATTATAACGCAAACACTAAAGCTATGATGTCATTTCTTAGATTGCACAGCTTTGCCCACATTGCTCAGGTTGTTCTGCATTGTTTGTTATTCTCCTCCCCCATTCTTCTCACTGTATTGTCTTTCTTCTTTACTAAGGTATTATTATTATTGATTCAGTAAGTGTTTATTTAATGCCACTATGTGCTAAGCACGAAGGATACCCCGATGAACAAGACCAGTAGGGCAACTGCTCCCAGGAAGCTTAAACTAAGTGATCTTGACTCTTGTAAGCATTCACAACTAGTTCCTACTTTCATTATACCCTAACGACAACATGCGACCTGGCTGACGTCTTCAAGTTCTGAAGATTTTCAGTAGCCCAACATATTTACCGATCCTGCCTATTAGCTCTTTTCCTGCAAGAATATCTATTATTTATAAGCTAGATCACCAGCATCTATTCTCCTTTTCTGAATTCCAGATATATTTCTCTATTCTACTCAACATATCGCTAATTTAACTAGTTTTTTTAGTGTATTTTATCAGTTCGTTTTGGCTTGGTTTTGTTTGTTCTTTTGTATGCAACCTCCTTTCATCCAAATCCGTTTTTAAGTCAGTTTTAAAAAAATAAAATCTACTTGAATCCCATTAAGGAGAAAAAAAATTTCATCTTCTAAAATTCTCTTGTTTCACAGCAGTAATTTTTCTCTAAGCTCATACAACTTTGGTCCATTTTTAATGTTGAATTAACTGTTTTTCATAGATGCCATGATATATTTTATTTTTTCCACTTTGCTTATCCTTAGCAGAGGTCCCTTTAGAAAGATGGTGAGCACGTTGGTCCTTAGGGACTTGGACTACATTTATCTTGGAGCAGACATTTAATCAGTTTTGTTACAGGACAAAGAGTACCACAGAGGAACTACCTCCCTTTTGAAGGAGCAAAAAGGCAAAAGTTATTTCCACAACTCAGTTGAATACTAGACATAAGAATATAGAACATTCCATAAAAGTGAAATGCATACAAGTAAAATACATACTCAAGTGTCTTCTCTAGGAAATTCAGAAGACAAGGTGAGGCCAAGGACTTCTGGTCCAAAAAAAAAATCTCGGGGTATTAAGAAGCAAGAAGAAGTGACCATATCTTATACAGAAGCTGGTGAATGACTATACAAAAGAGGCTCAGGAGAACAAAGAAAGAAACAGAGAGTCAAGGACAGACTCCAAGGGGCTGGTTTTCAATAGTTACAACTGATGACAGAAATTTCCATGAAATTAGAGAATGCTTCCATTATCAGAATGCCATACAACAAATTTAATTGCTACATATTTAGAAATTGTATATAAGTCAACTTAAAAGGACAGGTTATTTTTGTGACTTATACAGCACCATAAAAGACCACGTTACAAGAAGAAAACATCTATATTTGGGGCGCCTGCTTGGCTATATCGGTTAAGCATCTGACTCTTGATTTCAGCTCAGGTTATGATCTCAGGGTTGTGAGATCAAGCCCCGAGTCAGGCTCCTCACCCAGTGGGGAGTCTGCTGGATATTCTCTCTCTCTCCCTCTGCCCAACACCCACTCGTGCTCACTTTCTTGCGTGCACTCTCTCAAATAATCTTTAAAAAAAAAGAAAATGTCTAAATTCATAGAATTTTCAACTAAAACATCTGTCGATCACTTTTCATTTTAACTACTAAATGCACCATATGTTGTCCTTTCATCAACATGTTAGAATAGATAAAACAGGCTATTGAGTCAAAGTGTTACTCTTACCCTGAAAAATCAGCAGAGTATTGTCCATAATCAAAGATATAGACTCTAGTAATTTGGCACACTGTGAGGTATCCCAAAGCAAACACAAAACAATATCTGGAAAACAAAAATAAACTAGATTAGTGAAAATAAAAGATTCATTTTGTTAAAAAATACATTTTAAAGTAATTTATTAACCATGATTCAAAATTTAAATGGTTCAAAAATTAAATATTTCCAGATCTATTCCACAAATAGCTTTCTTCAATAAACCGTAAAAACTCTTTACTAATGGGGCGCCTGGGTGGCTCAGTTGGTTAAGCGACTGCCTTC